TCCCTGCCGAGCAGGGAGCCCGATGCGGGACTCGATCCAGGGACTCCAGGATCATGACCTGAGCCGAAGGCAGTCGCTTAACCAACTGAGCCACCCAGGAGGGCGGGAGTTTCTTTATACCTGCTTCTGATCCTGCCCCAAATGGGAGCTCATTACAAGTTTGTCGAGTGACTAATAGAGACCCAAGACCTACTGCCCCAGGAGTCTGTGTAGCCACGGAGGGGCAGGCTCATGGGGGCTAAATGTGAATGCACCATGAGCTGAGGCTCAGGAGAGGCTGAGGCTGGAGACCAGCCTGGGGTGGCAGGGAGGCCTCACCTGAATCAGGTCGAGTTTAGAGAAGAGGCCCATGCTCTTGGGCGTGCTGTGGGCAGAGGGGGAGCACTGCTGGACCATGTTGTTGATGGCCATTTGCAGGTAGTCGAGCAGCTGGTTCTGCAAGAGGAAGAGGAGGAGGAGGAGGAGGAAGAGGTTCTGGTCCTCTCCCAGCATCCCCCTGCCCCCTATCCCCAGCTCACTCAGGCCAGAGAAGCCACCTTCTCATCCTGCTCTGTGCTGCAATCCCAGAGGGCCTTGCCTGAGTCCCTCCCACCCCAGGGCCTGAGCATCCTCCCCTGCCATGAGGGACATTGAACTAACTTCCCAGAGGGTCCTCCTAGCTGGAGACACCTGTGATCCACACCTGGGGCAGGGCCTGGGAAGGGTCATGGAGGAACCTGGAGCTCCTCACTCTGGGCAGCACTGGAGTCCTAGACTTCAGGTCTTCAGGGCTGTGGCCAGCGGTGGCAGCCTTGCTTCCCATCTTGAAGAGAAAGATCCAGAAGGGGCTCTATAAATAGTGGCCAATCCACTCCCTCTCTAAGCCCCTTGGCTGGAGGTCAGCAACATGTAGATCCCTATCCTCATGTCTTCCAAATTAAGATTGCATGGGGACTGAGAAGCCCCTGCCTTTGCTGACCACACTCTGACCAGGTGGAGTGTGCCCCAGGCCTTGCTCCTGGTGTCTTCCCAGCAGCCCCTACGGCTGGGAGGGCATGGGCTCTGGTTTTAGTGATGACCCAGGGACCAGAGGGTAACCAGTCCCCATTCCAAAGGCCAGGAAGGAACAGCTAGAGAGCTTAAGCCCAGAAATCCTGGCCCCTGGGCATGGGCTTTGGCCATGACTTATTCTTTCTAAATATTATTTTTCTCATCTGTGAAATAGATACAGAAATGAGTCCACCAACATTTAGAAGTGCCTGTCCTGGGTTAGGGGGCTAAGCACTGCCTGGGATGATCACAGAGACGTATGAATTCCTGCAGATAGTGCGTAATAACTCACTTAAATGCCACTGTTCTGTTTTTAACCACAAGCATCACAGAAGGACTGGGTAAGCACCCAGCTATGCCAAGCCCTGGGACGGGGCTGGGGATCCCAGCTCTGGTTCTTGGCAGAGCTTGTCTCTTGCCCCTCTGTGGCCTCAGTTTTCCCATCTGTAAAGTAGTTTCTGCCCCATCTTCGGGAAGCCCTTTGGAAGCAGACAGCAGGGCGAGGTAAGTAGGGGGTATGTGTGAGTGTGGGGGGCGTGATGCTTACTGAGGAGACAGCAGCCCCCAGCCCTGCCCCCACCCCACCCCCATCCCACAGATCGGACTCACATTATAGCTGTCCATGTCCTTCTGGGAGGTGACACGGTGTCCCAACTGCCCCCACCGCTTCTGCTCGTGATGACATCGCTTTTGCAGCTGACACAGCTGAATCTTGAGGCTCTGTGATGGGAGAGGCTGTGTCACCTGGGTGCAGCGAAGTCTGCTGGGGCATCTGCCCTGGGCCTGGTCCTGAGGAGCTCACTGCCCTGGGGCGGGGAACGGGGTCTGTGCCATGATGGGGGTGAGCGGAGGGGAAAGCTCTGGGTCTTCTAGCTGTTCAAGGCACCAGGAAAGGCCCGAAAGGGCATGTCCAGACTGACTGGGGTTTGAATGTTGGCTCACGGCCCCCAGAGCCCCTCTTCCTCCCGTAACCAGAGCCAAGAGTCTGTGCCCTTGTGGACAGCCTCCCGTGGCCCAGCCTGCTCCACACAGGGCTGTGCGGGCCACACCCCACCGCGAGGCCCCATGGGGCGTGAGTTTGGACACGGGACATACACAGGTGTCCTCACTTCTCTGCCTCTTAGTCTCCTCCCCTGGAAAGTGGGAAGAAGAGCGCAGCTGGGTCTATGGTGCGAAATTTAAGATGGGGTGGAAAAACTCAGCATATGCTTAAAATGAAGATAAATTAATTAAGATAAATAGTATCTTAATCCAATGTTTTTAAAAAATCAAAGTTAATACAAAGCATCCATGATGGACAAAATATTAAAATTTTAAATAAAGATGGGGTCCAACGAGCACTTGAATGCTCACTTCACTCACCTCCTCTTGTCTCAGGCCTAGGAATTAAAGCACTTAGCTCCAGGTGCTGGGGTGAGATTTAAATAAGATAAAGCAGGTAAACTGTGTCTCGCTCTGTCCTGCCCAATCATAGAGGGTCTGGCTCTCCAGAGGGAAAAAGGTGCAAAGTCATGTAGGTTTTCAGTGCGGCCACTAGGGGGCAGAGACTCGCTGCAAATATCACGCCCTGATCCTTTGCAAGAATCAAGCCATCCTCAGCCTTCCTCTCCTTGTCCCCTTCCCCTCCTTGGTCCCAGGCCCCAGCTGCAGCATGCAAATTCTTCCTGCCATGCCTTTGCCTGGGCACTTTCTCCTGGCTGGGATGCCCGGCCCTCCTGGCAAAAGTTCTATGTATTATAAGATTAACCAAAAAGGACAGAGAGGTGACTTCTTGGGGCACGCACTTTGGCACTGTTCCGTGTCTCATGACACCCTATGAGCTAGGTTGCATTGCCATTTGACAGAGAAACTGAGGCTCAGAGAGGGGTCACCCTTGCCCAGGGTCATGCAGCTAGTCAGAGAGTGAAGTGCAATTGGAACCCGGTCTGTTTGAATCTAGAACTCGTGGCTTTTCTACCACCAAGAACACCTTTTGAGCATAAGCATAAGTTTCAGGAGAAACCCCGAGTCAACCAGCAGACAGGGAGAGAAGGGGATACAGAACAAGGCTCTGGAGTGACAGGCCCACCCAGACCCTCTCTGCAGCCCACCGCTGCTCCGAGCCTTCCCCCCTGAGGTGCAGAGGGAAGGGGGGCCCCTCTGCCCCCAGTCCTATGGGCTAAGGGCAAGGGACCAGGCTGCAGATAGCTGTTACCGGGATAAGAGCCCTGTGGCTCTCCTCTAGAGACTCCAGCCTCTGGTGGAAGACCTGGCTCATCTCGGAGAAGGCTTCCAGATGCTTCTGGATGTCCTGGCTGATTGTGAAGAGCTGCCCATAGTGCTCCACCATGGTCTCCACCAGGACCACCTCTGGCTCCTCTGTTTTCTCCCCTTCATTGTGGCCTAGGGAGACAGCCATGATGGAGTGGGTGGGCACAGAGAGCCCAGCCCTCACCTGCCCCTGCAGGGGTGATGCCAACGATGTGGATGGGACTTCTGCCGCGGCTCTGTGATTCCAGCTGCAGGCCCACAGTTGAGAGGCGCCAGCCGACCCATGCGGGGCTTAGCCCAGGACAGCAGGTGCCCAGCCCCCTCACCCACCACCGGCCTCTTCAATTAACATTTGAAAGGTCCCCTAGCAGCCGAGAACCCAGATTCTGGAGCCAGGAGGCCCAGTGAGACAGGAGACGGTCCCCAAGGACCCGGAGCCTTCACCCCTCCTTGGCTTGGTGCTCAAAGCTTTTTGTGCTCCTCAACCTTCCAGTCACCATCTCCCAGCAACCCCTGCCATGTCCTGGTGCTCCAGCCCACTGGAACTCAACATCCTCAAATTCACCATGCAGGCCTCTGGCTCCAGCCTACGTTGGTGCTGTTCCCTCTGCCTGAAATACCGTTCCCCTTTGCTGACCTCATTTGAGCCCCATGAGAGGCCACCTCTTCCGTGAAGCCTTCCCTGACATCCAGGACAGTTTGGGGGGCTCTCATCGCTCCACAGCATTTAGTGCAGCGGCTCTGAAGTCCGACCAGAGTCTGAGACCCAGCCCTACCACTTCCTGGCTGGGCATTTTGGGCAAGTTCCTTAACCTCTCTGAGCCTGGGTAACACAATTCTCAGAAGCTCATAGAGAGGGGTAAAAAAGATTTCCTAAAGAGGCTAGCACAAAGTTAGTTAATAGTCGTTAATAAATGGTAACTTAATAAATGATAAGTTATTCTTATTATTGATGACGTTGAGCTAATGATGATAAAAATTCACGTTTGACCCCCCCTTCCCTTTCCTAACAAGCTTCTGGCACTGACAACAACGGGCTCCAGTTCTCATCAGGATAAAACAAACACAAAGCCCATTTCTGGTGTCTGTGTAAGTTTAGCTGATCATCGCAAAACAAGAAACCAGAACCAAAGACACACAAAATAATGGCAATCATAGCTAACACATACTGGGTGTTAGCTGAATGCCGGGCACCGCACCACAGGCTCATGAAGGATGAGTTCATCCGATCTGCATAACCAGTCTTGTCCCCCTTGTACGGATCGTACACCAGCACCTCGAGAACTTGCCTCCGGCCACACTCGCGGCACAGGCAGGTCCCGGGCTCACCGGGCAGGCTCGCGCGGCCCCTGTGCCCTGTCTCTCCACTGTGGCATCGGCCTTTGTGGGTCCTCACTCTGCAGATGAGGTCAAGGCTCACACCGCGCCCTAGTCCCAAGGCTGAGAGGTGGCCGTGGAGACGAAGCGGCATACATACCCTTAGGGATTATCTCAAGGACCTTAATCAGATAGTCTTCAAAAAGCTTGTGCTTCTCGACCTCTCTCTTCAGCTTCCTCTGCCTGCAGAGACATTTCAGTGACAGCAAGACGCGGTTTGGAGGACCCCAGGTCGTGAGCTCTTGCAAGACCACTCTCCGTGGATCTCCGGCTCAGACCTGCACTGGGCGGGCGCACCCCCCCCACCCCCATCAGCGGGCCGCTGACTTAAGCCTCTCCACCCCATTTCCTGCTGAGCAAACTGAGCCACAAACAGTTCAAAGAGCTGCCGTGGTCAGGCGTGAGGAAGGAGCACCAGGGAGAGGGGAGTCCAGTCCTTCTGGTGTGGGGTGGGTGGGGGGTCTATGGAGCCTCCCTTAGAGGCTGGCCTGAGCCAACCCCCCCCCCCTGCCAACCAGCTGGTGACCTGGCTAGGTGCTTCACCTCTGTGCTTGGCTAGCCCATCTGTAGCGACAGTAACCAGAGCCCCTCCCTCACAGGCTGGCCGGGATCATGCGTGGGGCGCCCAGCACATAGTGAGCACTCAGTCTGGGGTTGGGGACCCCAGCACCCCCGGGAGGGGAGGCAACTGCGTGCTGCTGCCCAGCCATTCTTGACTCTTAGGCGAGCCCCTGAGCAAGCAGAGTCTCCAGTCGGTTGCCTGCTCTGTGCCCAGTCAAGGTCAGCGGTCAAGGGCAGAGGCAGAGTGGGACCCGCCCCGGTCAGCGGGACTGTGGCGGGCTCTGGGAGTGACTGCTCAGGGACCCAGGGCAGGCCTCTCTGCCTCTCAGGCCCCACTTCTCATCCATAAGGTCCTGAAAAATGCAGGGAAAAACCATCTTTCCCCACAAATACCATGTGGACCCTGCGCACCATGGCGTCCAACCTTAGTGAGGTCGGGAAGCCCGAATAGAATCTGATGGAAGGGTTGGACCTTTTCTCCACAAAGTTGCTCACAGACACATCCTTTTGCATCTGATTCAGGCTTTTATGGGCAGCCTGAAACTGATGGGCTGCCTGGAGGGTGAGGACCCAGGTCTCCACTCCAAGGCGGGGGGAGGGGGGACAGCCTCGTGGGTTGACTTTAGAGGGGCTGAGCTGACAGGTACAGGGGATGGCCACCCACAGCCCTGCCTCCAGGACGGGAGACTAAGCCCACAGAGGGCCTGGGAGGACCCAAGGTCTGAGCTCGGGGAGCAGGAGCCACGCCCCCCACCCCCTCCCCACGACTGCCCCTCCTGTTTACTTCCAGGGATTGCTCCCCTCCTTGTCCCTTCCCTGCCTGGCCCTCAGGGATGTTTGCTCAGTCCCAGCCACCTAGTCCAGTGAGGACGCCACTGGGCCTGGGGCAGGGCCACAGCTGGGCCTGGGACCTCTCGTACTTTGCCTGGAGCTCGCAGAGTTCCTGTAACAGCACCTGCAGGTCCCTGTCCTTGTCGCTGCTAACGCTCCGGCCAGCCCCCTGGCTGGCGTCCACGGCCACCAGCATCGCCCCTCACCACCCCAGCGGGAGGACGAGGGCCACTTGGGCCAGGCAGGAAAACTGGTCAGCACTTTCTCTCCCGACTTTCCCAACAGCCCCCGGAAGCCAGGTCACGTTCCCAGTTCGTGGAAAAGGAAACAGAGGCTCAGAGGGGGACTGTGACCAGCTCAGGGACACACAGCAGGACTGGATCTGGACTTGAGGCTCACTGAAGCCAATGTCTGCGGTCTTCCAACAGGTGCTGGTTTCTCGCAGCATTCAGGAGAGAGCCCCAGGGTCAGGGCTAGGGGCTGGCTCAGAAAGCAGTGTGGATGGGGTGGGGACACCTTGGTGGCCTATCCTACCCACCAGCCCTCCACCCATTTCTGCATTCAGTGACATCACATACTCTGAGCGTGTAGAGAGCTCATCAAAGGAGCATGGAGGGGCGCCTGGGTGGCTCAGTTGTTAAGCAACTGCCTTCGGCTCAGGTCATGGTCCCAGGGTCCTGGGATCGAGTCTCATATCGGGCTCTCTCCTCTGCGGGAAGCCTGCTTCTCCCTCTCCCACTCCCCCTGCTTGTGTTCCCTCTCTCGCTGTGTCTCTGTCAAATAAATAAATAAAATCTTTAGGAGAAAAAAAAAAAAAGAATATTCGTGTTGTGATTCCCGTGTGATAGCTCTTGGGCGAACCACACCTCCCTGCGCCTCAGTTTCCCTGTCTATAAAGTGGGGCTGTTTGTATCTATCTCAAAGGTCAGTTGCGAAGACTAAATGAGATGGCCCTGAAAAGCACCTGACCCTGTGCTTGGTATCCAGTAAGTGCCCAATATATGTGGGCTTTGCCTGAGTCTTGTTTATCCTTGTGTGACTAAGCCTGAAGGGAGCAAGGTGAGAACACTCTGCAGGAGGACCAGGACCCTGGGCCATAAACTGCTTCACCTCTCTGCAGATGTGGATGCCATCCTCCCGGCCGCACCACCCGCCCCCCTCATGCAGAGCCTGCAACTTTGAGCTGGAAAGCTGGTTGAGATACAAACCTGTGTGTTGTTTCCCGGCTGGGGAAGATCAGGAAGATTCAGGGCTGGAGGTGCCCCCCCTCTCCCACGCTGGCCCCCTGGGAGCTGCGGGCCAGCCCTGGAGGCAGTGGGCTGCCCTGGTTCCCACCCCGCCCCCGCAACCCCTGGGGGGCAGGGTGGAGGAAGAGCCTTTTATTTTTCAGAAAAGATATTTCCAGGAAAAACAATGGAAGTTGGGAAATTTGAGAATGGGGAGGCAGGTCTGGCTGAACAGGGAGAACATGCTGGAATGGGGGAAAGGGCAGAAGCAGGTGTCCCAGAACAGGGGCGTGCCTCACTCTCGCATCCCCTGCTGGTACCGCCCGAGGGAACATGGGATCTGGACCTGGCTGGCGAAGATCGCTTCTGTCCCTCCCTTCAAGGCACTGTATCTATTAGGTCAGGGGGTGCAGCAACAGGACCAAAGGCCATCCATTCAACACTCAGCAAAGACTGACTGCTCGTCTGACAGGCAGATGCGTGAGCGGCTCAGACTACGCACATCTGCACACAAAACGGACGAAACCCGCTGCCCTCACTCAGCCTCCATTCTCATGGGGACATCTCTAAACCCGTTGCCCAGGACCACACAACCCCAAAAGGGTTGGCGGAGGATGGGGAAGGAGCCCCCCGAAACGTTTGAGATTTAATTATCCACCAGCTCAGGGCGAGGGGACACACAGTGTGAGTTTACTGCAGGGAAAAAAGAAAGGACTATGGTCTTCCTCGAACCCTCGGAGAGGGCTCCAGGATGCCTGGCCCATGACAGGCTGCTCAGGCTTTCCAAGGGTGAGACAAGGCAATCTGGAAGACAAATAATTTTATAAGGCTAGGTTACCCCACGTCTCTGCTCACTTCTCAGGTTAAACAGGACCCACAGCCCCAGGCCAACGGCCAAGTGCGTGAGCTTGGAAGCTGACTCTCCTCTGGGGGGAGCCTTCAGATGAAACCACAGGCCTGGCCGACAGCTGCACTGAAGCCTCATGGACAGACCCAGAGCCAGATGCCTGCCCAGCCCTGTCCAGATGCCCGACCCCAGGAACAATAAGGAGGTAATAAAGGTCCATGATTTCCAGCGAAGTTTTGGGGTGATTTGTTACGCAGCCTCAGATGACTAAGATAGCCGGTCTTGCTCTCAGCCACAGTCTGCTCCTCTGTGAAATGCAGTTAATGATACTTGTATCTCTGGGTAACTGTGTGGGTGACCCCCCCCGTCACTTCCTCAGGCTCCCCCTGGAGGCACAGTGGGGGTTCCACCCCACCCTCCTCAGTACTGCTTTAGTCACACAAGAGAATGTCTAACTGTCAATTCTGGCAAGTGCTGGAAAGAAAGAGGACAGGGGGACGCCTGGGTGGCTCAGTCGGTTAAGCGTCTGCCTTCAGCTCAGGTCATGATCCCAGGGTCCCGGGATCGAGTCCCACATCAGGTTCCTTGCTCAGCGGGGAGCCTGCTTCTCCCTCTGCTTGTGCTCTTTCTCTCTCTGACAAATAAATAAATAAAATCTTTAAAAAAAAATAAATAAAACAAGAAGTATCATTGGGCGCCTGGGTGGCTCAGTTGGTTAAGCGACTGCCTTCGGCTCAGGTCATGATCCTGGAGTCCCGGGATCGAGTCCCGCATCGGG